ATTTTGTGCCTACATCTTTGTAATGTTGTTAGTTTGTTACTCATATATAGCTGGCTAAACTTAAAAATGTGACAACACTCTGATACAGTAGAGTAGTAGATGGAGAGGACCACTTCACATTTTTGTATACATCTAACTACAATATGTACATATTCCTTTTGCTTTGTGTTAACCAGAGAAACAAGTTAAAAGATTTTTGAATTCTTTCTCCATACTTAGTATATAAGAATAAGAAATTTGAAAGATGAAGGTGACATTTCATTTTGTGGTCCAATTCATAGGATCTTGTAAAATCCCTTTCTTCTTCTGTAATAATATAATGTTAACCAAGTTTGTTCTTAGTCTTGTTTTACATCCACCTTACCATGTGTAGCTAGCTGGATAAAGTTTCCCCTCTTTTTTTCTGCCTAGAAAGCAAAAACTAACAAACTATATTGACCAAATTTGGTCCATTAGCCAAACAGCCAACAATTTTACCTTATTCTTAGGTGAAGGTTAACCAACTCTGAACAAATAGTCATCTGTTCAATCTTTATAGTTGGAAATTAACCACTATCATCAAGTCTCAAGTTCCACAAAGTAACTCTTTAAGACATTAAACGACGATGTCCGCGAATGGTTAACAAGCCATAGTTAAGGCTTTCAACTAATTAGTTGAGAAGCAGACCAGGCCCAAAACAAGGCCTGAAAAAATGGCCCAAGGAAAGTTTTTGGACTGGTACATATCCATAAAATCCTGTGACAAGTTATTAAAAAAAAATAGCAACGAGCGAAAAAAGAGACGGTTTTTCATATGTCAACAAAAACATATCTGAATTTCACCAAATGATAAATCGTTAACGAGTCAAAAAACTAAAGGGCAAAATACCAGAAAACAAGAAACACCAATATCTTTAAATTGTGCACCATGCCTATGTTTATTTACTACTATAGCATAAAGGTCCGATGATATTCATTAGAGTAGAACTAAATGTGTTCAACCCATTGCGTATTTCTGGGTCCATGATCTGGCAGTACTCTCATACTTCGCTCTATCCGTCTTGTACATGTGAGCAATCTCTGGCACTAAAGGATCATCTGGATTGGGATCAGTAAGCAAAGAGCAAATGGAAAGCAGCACCTGCAATTTCCCAGCATAATTGTCACCAAAAAGTATACATAAAGCAGATGCTTTAGAGATGAGCTAAGAAGTATGAGATACTTTACCTTGGATACAGTAAGAGCAGGGCTCCATTGTTCCTTTAGGATATCAAGACAAATACTACCATTACTGTTGATGTTTGGGTGGAAAACCTTGGTTTTGAAAGAGACCTACAGAATTCAGAGTCAAAACAAAGTAACATTGAAAATCCAATCACTGAAAACAGGGTTTTGCAACAAATTAAGAATTGAGAAATACAATGGAGCTAGCTTTTGCTGGTATTTACATGTAACAAGCAAAAACAATAGCACTTCACATATTTGTCCTTGTTATTCCAATGATACACAAGGAAGTTGACAGAACGGGTTCTCTTATATAGTGAAACTCGGAGTATAAATCATTTAAGCAAGGACTACAGAAAACACATCAAGGGCAAATAAAAGAATGGCCAACGTCCATACTTAGGTCCAACAGACAAAAAATTGAACGCCAATGATATCTAGAGCCAACATCCATCCTGGTAGATGCAGGATTTTGCGTCTTCTGAAAACCCTAGGTTGCTTGAAGAACTCCATTTCTGTGTTACTCGGTTTAATATTTTTTACCATCACACCAAATATTGGAACATTAAGTTTTATCAGACCTAATATACAACACTAACAACACCAACAAAAAATCAAGTGTAATCCAACTTGTGGAGTTTGGGAGGGTGATGTGCACGCAGCCTTACCCCTACCTTGTGGAGGTAGATAGATTATCTCAGATAAGACGTCGGCTCAGGTAAAACATATCAAATAACAAATATGTAAAACAAATACATTCGAGTTCAGGTTTAATCTACTGGGAACTCTTGCAGTAAATAGTTCTAATCCATGGCGAGACAGAATTGCTAAAGGTAAGGAATGTTGGAAATAGGAGCAAGAGAAATTTTACAAAATACTTGGCAAGACTTCAAAACTACCTTTGGGGGCTTGAATGGATAATCTGGGGGGAAATGGATAGACACAAGGAAAACACCCCCAGAAAACGGACTGTCAGATGGACCCATTATGGTAGCTTGCCAATGGAACATATCCTCACCAACAGGACCTGCAAGAAGCAAAACACTTTTTCAGTCCAAAACAACATCCAAATTAAAAGTACACAATTTTCACAAATTCCAGCACAAGTGCAGACATGTCTAACAAAATATTAACAGAACCAAAAGAATTGTCACCTGTTACTCTGTCAATCCTACCCCAACCCGCAGCCAACATTAGGGGGAAAAGGGAAACAAAGAAGAGGACCAAATGAACAGTAAGTAATGACTACCGATCGGATGGTAAGGGGAAAGAAATCATCAGATTATTCCCAGCACATATCTGATGTGTCTAAAATATATTCCAACACAAATTCAAGTTGCAGACATGGGAGAAAAGACAAGTTCTCAAGGAACAGCAAGCCTAGAGGGGATATCTATAACATGGTAATAAAGAGACATTAAGCAGCACAAGTCACACTCATATATACCTGCACTGCAAGAAGCAGGGGGGTCTTTCTGCAAGTCCTTCAATTCCTTCTGAATCCTCTTTGAAGCCATAACGAATTTGAGAGACTTATCACTACAAAAAGAAATCCAAATCAATAATGCCAAAGGAAGGCCAAATAATCAAGAATTAGATTTTTTTTTAGTAAATTATGATGACACTTCAAAAATAATTTAATAGAAGTTGTAATGGTATGCACTTTTTTTAGGTAAAAGTGTTGTATTAAGGAGAAGCAAACTGCTTTCCTCCCCGGTGCTGCTCCTGTAAGTGCAGAGGAGCAGGCAAGAACTATTACATTATATTGGTTAAACTCAGGCAAGAGAACAGACAATGAAGTTCCAAACTAGTCTCAAAATATACAAAACATTAATAACAATGTTTTGGGATTTTTACCATAATCAATGGCCTCAAAATATACAAAACATTAATAACAACGGAAACCATCACATCCTAGTCTCTATCTAAGAGATAATGATCAGAATTTTGACTTGGAACAAGAAATCAAATAAATTACTATAACCATTAATACCAACAACAAGGACAACCATTACATCCCAGTTTTTATCACACAGATAATGATCAGAGACGTTCGCCTAGGACTTCCCCACAACCTCTTCCTCCCAAAATTTCTAGACAGAGAGTTCAAAAATACGAAAAAGTAAACACACAAAGAAGCCAAAGGAATTCAACATTTACTATATATACATAAAAAATAATTTTAACCTCCCACATAAACGAAAAGGGGTTCGGATGAACCCCTTAACCCTGCCTAACTCCACCCCTGCAGTAACGCATACCAACCCAAAACAAGAATCCAATTTTTTTGCAGGACTCCACAAACAAACAAAAAATAAACAAAAAAAATAGTCCCTTTTTCCTGTTTTTGTGTTGAAGAAAGTGAAACCTTAAAAAATCAACCTTTTTTGAATTAAAAAATGATTCAGCACATCAATTCCTCAAAATTAACAATCAACTTACTAGTGCTACTACATATCTATACAAAACTAAACAGAATCAGCTTTATAAATTCTCTTCTCATCAAGCCGACATTAAAACAGAAACAGAGAACGTCAACTACGTTTTTCACATGAATTTTTTTATAAAAATAATCGGCAAACCACCATATAAATCCAGAAAAATTACAGCAAAAGCATAAACAGAACATACAAACAAACAAACATCAATTTATAACAACATCATATAACTAATGATCGATTTGCAAAAAAAAAACAACAGAGAAATCGGTAGGGTTAAAAAATCCTTAAGGGTTACGAACCTTTTTTTGAGAGAAAAGAGTTTTGGTTGGAGGCTGCAAAATATGAATTTTACGACTGAATGAATATATATAGGGAGTTTTGACTCACAAATATTATTATTAATTAAGGTAGAAAAAATAATTATAATTATATTTGGAAAAGGAAGGGTCTCCTTTAGGCGGTGGACACCTCATGCCATGCACGTGTTAATACCATGCTTTTTTGCCTCTTTATTTATTTGTTTTTTCTAATTTTCCATATTGGATTAAAATTATGACTTTGGTCCTTTGTAAATTGTAATATTGGCATTATTTTTGTAGTTTTTCATTTATTTAATTGTTTCGATTATTGTATTATTTCATTATTATTATTATTGTTTTTTCTCATATTTGTTGTGTAATGTTTTCTACATTGCACTTTTTGTGTTTTATTTGCGTTAGTATGTATATCTTTTTTCAAACTATTTGGCATGCTTTATTTAAGTTAGGAGGTCTATCAAAAATTTGTGTAAAATTTCATCTCTTCATACTCTACTTGAGAAATTATCTTGAGTATATTGTTAGTAATCCGTTGATCAAAAAGGTAATCTTAAGCGTGTTGTTTGTTTTTTTTAATGTATGTTAGCATTTGTTGTCTATTGTTTTTTTTTATTAATTGATGTGGTTCATGTGATTCTTTTGAAAAAATCTTTCTACGCTCACGAGATAAAGGTAAAATTTGTGTAGGTCTATCCTTTTAACACCCCCACTATATGTTGTGAACATAATTTAAATGCAATATAGTGTAAATAAGAGAACCAAAATTACATTTTACTCCTTAGTGGGAAATTAGACACCCTTTAAAGAACAAAAACAATCAAAATAAAAAACTAAAGAACTTATTCCTTTTCCCACTCTTTTAACTTTCTGTGACTGACAGTTCCATATACAATCTGTCTATCTTCATCTTTTACCCTTCCATTACTGATGGAAAAGAGAAAAGAAAGGAACTTTAGGGAGCTTTGACATGTTTTGGTAAATTTGGAGGAATAAAATAACTTGAGCTAAACGAAGCTTACTCCAAATACAACCAAAAAGGTATACAAACAGAAACTGAGCTTAAACCATAAATAAATGGTGTCAAGTGCTTTGATGTTCACAACATTAATAAAAATGCTCTCCTAAAATATTACATAATGTTCCAAAGGAGAGCAGAAAAGGCACCAACTGCAGAAAAACTGTAAACATAGATCTTCACCTCACCTTCTCTTTTTCTTTTTTCTTCTTTTTTATCAGTACAGACACGCCTCGCTAGCATTACAGGCATTCCCACACCTTCAAATCACAAACTAGAAAATAATGGAATAATACAATGATTGGTAAGACAGCGCTCTGGCGACATCAAGCAAACCTCTAAGCGGTCCACAACTATGGCTTACTGTTTACTAAATCTTCCCTGACCGGAACATAAACACACTTCATATCATTATAGAGACAAGTTAGAACTGGCACAGAACAGCACCAGTGCCCCGATGGCAGTGCGAGGCATCTGACGTTATAGCAACATCTGTTGCATATAGGACCTGCTGGTTGGTTAGTGGTGTGTATCAATGCACAAGCTCCAAATCCCACTAGACAAAGATCACACTCTGGTTTTAGCCCTCTTCATCCCAAGACTGTTGTGGAAGGGGGAAACAGAACCAGACATTTGAGAACCTTCTTCACGAAGAGTACCATTGAGCATTGCAAGTTCACGCAACTGCTGTTTTTTGTAGAAATCCTGTGACTCATCCTGCATTTGGAGGAAGAAGATGGAGAAATATTAATGAACAACTCTCAGCTTTGAAAATGTGTGATACTAGACAAAAAATGACAACTTGCAATCTATATGTTGAATTTACCATAGGCCTGAGCAGATCTTCCAATATCTCACGTGCTTGCAATAGCCGGGCATCAATGATCTCCACTGGCAGTTCAGCTTCCACAATAACATGTAGAGGCTCATTCAGGTGCTCATACCCCGGTTTGCCTCTCATCATTTCTTCCTTCAAAATAACAAAGTAAATTCTTATGTTGAATGTTGAGAAAGATGATTCCAGATGGAAAAATTGTACAAATTACCACCTCAGACTATCCAATGCCACTAACAAGAGTTACTGAAAATTCTAATGAATGGAATGAAAAATTGACCTCCACCAAAAAAACTTTTGATACATCAACTTCGTACCAACCTATGGAGGTAAGGGGCAACCTTAGTATCACAGATGAATCAACTAAGCAAGCCAGAAAAAGGGAAACTTATCTAAATTTAATAAGAACTTCAAAAACATCATCAACCAATAGGAACAGAGTGGAATAGAAACCTATATAAGAAATAAGAACATACTAGAAGGAGGTTCAAGCTATTAATTAATGGCCAAAAAAATGAACAGGTGGCTTCATTTATCACCACAGCTACCGCTGGCACATAAAATCAACTGGGAATGGATCTTTGGGGTGGGGGGTGTTTATAGAAGTAGGGAGAAGTTGTCTCTCGTGATTATTTCATGGCCTCTCAAACATTACATCAGTTCATAATATTACCTTTACTGGATCTTTGATGCTTCCGCGTCCTCTTATCAGAACCCGGCATTCAGTAGTAGCTTCCACTCGCTTTAGAGAGTTCCCTCTAGGGCCCAGGAGTCGGCCCACGAAATTGTACTGCAAAGGTAACTAAAACACACATTCAACATGATGTAGCCAAATCATGATAAACAGAATGAGAAAATAGATAATAGTACATACACTAGGATATTGATCCACTGGTATATCAATTCTGAGTGTTCGCTTCACTATGAGGCCTGATGAGTTACTTTGAGTATTAAGCCAGTTTTGAGTCGACGGGGAGTGCATTAAACCTGATATCTGGATATGATAACCACAAAATCGGTTAAACAGGGAAATCCACACCATGTGCCCTCTCTTTTGTACTACACTAAAGATAAACCCGGAAGCCTCCTTTTTGTGAGATAACTAACACTGAACCTCCTTATGATTCAGAACATTTAAGACATTCCAAATCCAAGACTACAAGAGGAATAAGAAGACACACATAGATCTACACAAGTTAAAACAAAATAAAGACAATAATCTACTAATCACGAATGCAACATTAACAGAGACAAGATAGACATATACTACAAGAGGAATAAGAAAGCACACCCTTAAAAACATAACAGATCTTGATGACTCTAATAAATTTGGAAACAACGAGCTTATGATTTTCAATTTCCAGTGTTTCAGAATGGATCAAAGCATCCCATAAGTGTTAGCAGAATTGAAAGTAAGGATATGCTCCTGTGGAGTGATAGACATCTAGATCTCATCGTAAAATAGTCTCATGGACATCTAGATCGCATCCCATATGTGTTAGCAGAATTCTGTGGAACAAGCCCCTCACATTCTACTGAGATAATTATTTAAATCAACATAGACATTTAGATCTCATCGGAAAACTTAGCTGGCTGTCAGTACTCCTAGTAACTAAAAGCAAAATTCTAAATCAGATGCTCAGCTTAAACTATTTATCAACCTTGTTGTTGTTAGCTTCACCTACCTGTCACGAGACAAGTGGAGATTGAAGTTAAAACAGTTAAAAAGAAATCAAGTTAGCATGGAAATTAGAAACTTTTGTCAGAAAAGCTTTTCAAACATAAAAAATTAGATCTAAAAGAGGTTATGTTAATAGTTAGTATCCATACTTCTGAATGAAATGGTGATGCCCATCTGTCCACATTAGCTCCTCCATTTGAAAACATTCCTCCTGAAGCCAGGGGGCTAGCATGTTCAAGCCCATTCTGATCTAAAACTGATGCATTCCCCAACAGTGTAGTTACACGCAAAAGTTCTGCTTCAAAAAGGTCAATTTCCAAGAATAAGACGTACCAGTTAGCAGTGGTTAATAAATCAGTTAGCAGCCACCACAATATGGACAACAAGACGGATCCTTCATTGGTTAGTTATCTCACGGATTTTATAGAAAAAAATGATTTGTTAAAGCAATCAGTTAAATGTTATGGACAGAAGAGACTCCTAAGATACCTAATTTGCGGATGAATGGTTAAAACACGGGGAACAGTAGAGATGGGAAGCATGGAGCAGAAAATATACGACGCAAAGGTACAATTAGAGGGGTATTAATACTGGCACTTTAAGGCACCTTTTTTTCAGGTGATGATGCCAAACTTTGATAGCAAGGTATATACAATCTTCTCTATAACAAATAAAAAACCCTGCCATTTAAGTGATTTGGTGTGATAGCAGACAGAAACTAGGAGCAATATTGTTTTTATGAAAAGAAGTCCCCAAAATGACAACCAGAAGGAGGAAGGAGGTGGAGTTCTAACCTAATTTAAGGAGAGAATTTAGGAAGACAACAGTAAAAAAAATCACATATATGTTAGGACAGTCCTAGTTTGTTGGTCGTAATTAAAAAAGAAAGTTACTCCTTATAGGTTCAACTTGTCTTTGAACATATCCTCCGTCATTTCCAAGATATATTTAGAAGAAGTATGAAAAGAAAAGAATTTCCTTATAGGTCTAACATGTCCTTGGCCATGCAATCCACCATTTCCAAACACATTTACAAGAGGAATAACATGCCCATTATGACCTCTTACTATGATATAGATATTCCCAAAATGCAGGTCCACAACTCAAACTTGAACGTTATTGCTAGTCACACAACGATTCAACCCTCCCCCTAATATTAAACAAGCTTCTCACAATGCACATCATGCTTCTTATACTTCAAGGATCAATTTCATAGTCCTCATCTTAATATTGTATACTACTAGTGTTGGGCAGTCAGTCATATTAAAGTATCCATTTTCCTTTTCATCAACACCTCTAGACAGTCGGGGAATGCAGAAGCACGTGTTTCCTTCTATTCCAGATCCGTTACAGGCTACACCGCTAAATAGTACTTGAAAACTTCCCGGTACAGCTAAGCATATATGACAGGCTGCTGGTGAAATACACTGGGATTTTTGCATTGAAGACTATTGGCAAACTTCCCACAATCTGGCCAAAAGATGATTTCAATAACACTTTCCATCTAAAACTTAGAGGCTCACAATGATATATGTGTGGTAGCACAGTTAAAATTGTCAATGAAGCATATCATAAATGTGAAGAAACAAACCTATAGGATACTGGGGGATAAAAAAATGGATAATGAAGTTCTTTTTTATTATTGAACTGGAATGGGACAATGAAGTGTTTATTTCCAACATATAGGAAATAAACATGGATTCAGTACCAGGACTCTCTCAACCTCATCTCATTCTTGCTAGGGGGTGGGGTTACAACATTATTTATAAACAAATTTGTGACAACCTCCAAATTAAGTCAAATGTAATTCCTTGATCTCACACCTATTACGACATGTAAGTCTTTAATACACTCTCGGTAAGCGGACCACAGCTGACCATAGAAGAAGGAATATTTTATTTTTATTTAGAAACTGCATAGAAGGAGGAAAATTAGAGACACTAATACCTGTTTTATGGGCCAAATATCTAGTTAAACATGAATAACAAAAAGACAATCATGGAATATACAAATAGTGTTGGGAGTCCTCCAGAAAAAGTGCTGACCAACTTAACATAGAAGACCCAAACTTGACCTAAACTTCCACCCAATTAGCAAAAACAGAAGTATACAATGGATTTATCATCTTTATTCAGATGAAAAGGATGTACCCATCAACGTAAAATATTTTTCAACCTCATTCTCTAATCTTTGACTTCTCTCGTGTTGAGCAATAAAAAATATTTTTTGATATCAGAAGCACAAGTGGCTGAACTAATCAAAATTCAACTTCCTACTCACCCTGATTCAGCAATCGGTAGCAGTGAGGAAGGACAGGCACAAATGGGCCGAGTTTGTGGCGTTCTGCAAGTAACTCTGAGAGATACCTGTTAACACACATTGACAAATTAAATACTCACAGTAATTTATGGTATAGGTACACACAAGAAGAAAACCATCAGTATCTCTATCAAAAAAACAGTTGTTCCAAGTTTGATGGTCCAATGTATTTGGTTTGTGCTATTTTAAGTATTTTGAAATTAAAAAAAAAACTATGTTGCATAGCGCAACGAGATCTCCTATTTTGGTCAATCACATAAGATGCACTAGAATAAGCAAAAATAAGCAGATAAGTTCACTTAGATAGAACCAAAATGTAAATCGAAAGGACAGAGTTGCAGTATTTGGTCAGTGGCTGCAGCAAATTGAATCATTTACCAAAAATTGCATCGACCACCACAAAGTAGTAGTGGGTGAAGTGTTACTCCACGCCCGCCAACTCAAAATCCCGGATCCACTCTATCGATCAGTAAAGTAGGGGAAAAAGGATCATAGAAAAAATGCTATTGCAAGACCGAAGTTTTATAGTCTTCTTCGGTTATCAATTCCAGAGTAGTTCAAGCAAGGAAGTGAATCTTTTCTTTACAATTGCTACTCTCTTAGTTTCTCAGAAGAAGATTGGACCAAATGCTCTGAATGAAGGGGAAATAATAATAACAATCAACATCCCATAGAAGCAAAGAAAACAACTTTTTTGAAGCAACAGACCGAACAAAAGTATTTGAATTGAAAAATGATCCAAAGGAAGAAGAAACAGCAACAATCAACATCTGATAGAAGCAAAGAAACGAACTTTTCAACGCAACCAACCCAAAAAAGTATTTGAATTGACAAAATGATCCGAAGAAGAAGAAACAGTAACAATCAACTTCTGATAAGATCAAGAAATCAACTTTTTGGAGGAACAAACCTGATCAAAGTATCCAAATTGATACAAGGAATCATAGAACCAATCCAGACCGTTTGAAATTGCGGTAAGGTATATAGAACCTTAAACTGACGCTTTTCACTAAGTAAGAAAACAGCTAAACCAGATCTTTCATTTTAGAGAAATCAACTTACAAATCGTCAAACCAAAAAATGAAAATAAAGTCACAAATCATAACCACAGAGTAAAATTAAAGCAACAGATTGAGAAACACAAAAACTGAAGATCGGATATAGGCTTAGCCAATTTCAGCACGATCCACTGACTCAACAAAGACGAAGACTGCAAACATAAAAACAAAGTTGTTAGAGAAAAAGGAAAAACGCACTTCTCTTGCTCGGCGATGGCAGAGGAAGCAGAGCGTAGTCCGGCGATATGAGGAGACTGAGGAGCAGATGGAGATGGTGAGTAGGCCATGTACCTTCCGGACGACATCTTCACCGGCGGCGATAGAATCCGATGACGGCCAGATTCACCTACTTTTCACTTTCCAAAAAGGAGTCCCTCTGTTTCCTTCTTTTGGACTGGCAATGACCTGGTATTAGTAGATTTAATATAATCGTCGGTGGACAGGGCCCAGGGGAGAGTGAAATTTTTGATATTTCGATATCCGTTTTGAAATTCGATTAATTTAAATTTACATAAAAAAACGTTTAACATTAAAAATAAAGTCTCACCGTTTGTAAATCATTATATGTAAAATAATCTAGAAATGTCAACTAATTATCTAAGCCATAAAATTCAACGGGCGTTCTTAAGGAATTAAATTCTCTTATTATATTTGAGATTATGAGGTTTCATTTACTTTCTCTCGTAATAGAACACATATATATGTGATTGAAGTAGGGATATTATGTGTGTTTTGAAAAGAAAACATAAAATCTACAATCCGCATAATTAACATTAAAAAGATTTCACTAATCTGAAAAGATTATCGATTAATCAAATTATTTGACCAAAATCGAGTATAATGACTACACTAATCTTGTTTTCTTCTCAATATTTTACGATCTAAAAAATGTGTTTCTATATATAAGCACAAAATACTTCATCTCTTTAGTAGATAAACGATAAGGTTTCAATTTTTTTAAAAAATATATTAAAATTTTCATTATTGATTTATACCTACTTAATATTCAATAATCTTCACATAAACGAGACATCAAATCTATATCACTTCACTTGTCATGTTATAATTATATTCATCAATTGAATATATTGTGACACGTCAAATCCATATTATTTGTCATGTTATAATTATATTCATCAACTGGGTATATTATTTTTGAAAATTAATCAAAAGGATCTCTAAGAAATTGATGATTTGCAATTTAATCATACAAATTTATATTATAAAAATTATGATAAGTAAAAAATGAAAATAAATAATATTGTTTATGAATTACCATGTAAATAGTTCTTTATTTTATGATATTTTCCTCAATCATTGTTCAAAATAAAATAAAAAGTAAACATAGTGCTAAATGAAAAAAGTTTACAACCTTTTACTGTATCACCAAAGACCATCCTTGTGCTTCACACCTTAAATTAGTGGATTTAGTGGTAGGTGGCTAATAATTTTTTAATTTTTTTTATATCTGATATTCTTATTTAGTCTCAATTGATTTAAATTTATATTATATAAAATTAATTTTAAAAAAAAATATTTTTTAAAATATTTAATTAAGAGCGAAGAAATTCTATCTATCTGTCAGAATTTTTATTGGTCGACTGTTGGTCCTAGCTCTCTAATGCTCCTTTCTCTCCATTACTTTTGTTCCTCAATTTTCAACCATTTATGGACCTTTGGGAATTTTTACTTTTGACCTAACATCTACTTTTTTAATTTATTTTTATTTGGTATTTAATAAGTTTGAGTTCTTATTGAAAATTCACACATTAAAAATGAAGTAATCTCTAATTAAAATGACTTTATATTCAAAACTTAAATATGTGACTTTTGATTAGAAATGAAAAAATACTTATCATTCCACTATAATTTTTATTAGTGAATTGTCTATTTTTATACTAACACTTATATATTTATTATATAGTTTAAAGTTTTTATTAACTTCAATCCTTTGAATTTTGTCAAAAGAGTCTATAGCTTAGCTAAAACTTTAAGTATTCAAGTAAATTGATGCATGTTTTGATTAATTTCTTGAAGTACTTGCCATTTTTTTCTTTAATTGTTAGTCTTTTGAAATGTATCACGAATGATTGAGTGTTAAACCATTCACTGTCAAAGTATCATATTAATTTTACATTATTACTCACATATAATCTAAAAGAACTCACTTTTAATTCATTACAAATTATATATACTTAATCAAATATCGTAATGATTAAAATTATCAATAATTGAGGGAATAAAAGTAGGATTATCTCTAATAGTACTCTTAAATGGATGAGATTGGACTTTCTCCACGTATTTAGGACGTTGATTGAACCTTTTTATTTTAATATTTCTTATATTCTTTAAATTACTTTTTTGAATAGATGGGCAAGCTATTTTTTAATTTTAGATCTAATCCCCAATCACATCAATTAATCTCCAGAAAAATTGGGAAATAAGAAGTATTATTTGTTCAAACTTTTGAATCAAATTTAAAATTATTGAAAATGTTGTCTTGCTCAAAAGTCATAATTGTACAGTTTTGACAATTATTTGAAAGGTACTGATATTTGTCATATGTATTTTTCAATCGATAGATCAGATAAATAATAATATAAAATATATTATTTTGAAGAACACTTGACTTACACTTGTGAAAAAATAAATAGTTATTTATATTTTTAGAAAAGTAAAACACATGTTAGTACACACAATATGTTCGAATAAAATTACCATTGACCAACTTAAAAATGTACAATAAATATTTATATGATTAATGTTCCTTCGCTATTATTGGATGAAATTCACCTTTTATATATTATTATTATTAGTATTCATTATTTATATAAAATATATGAATTGTTTATATATATTTTTATAATATATGAATTATAATTATGGTAAATTAATGGATCTTAAATGTTATATACCTAAATAATTTAAGTCCTTATGTTTATTAAAGTTGAACACTTTTCTTTGTCATTGTTACAACACACAACAATGTTATCTTGGATGGAATTGATCTATGAGAAGCATGTAGCTCGATTAAATTAAAGCAACCGAAACAAATTTCTGTAGAAATAAATTTTTAAAATCCTGTTTAGATGATTTATTTTTTTCCAGTTTAAAGGGCTCACATACTTCTCATGAGCTAGTTTCAACAAAAATAGCTACTACCTATCGTTAGGGGTTAATTACCAAAAATGCTCAATTTCGACAATATAAAGGACTATTTTAGACCATTCTCAAACTTAAGGGACTAGTCTATCATCTTCTCAACAGGGTTGGCATGAAACGACAACATTGTGTGTCGTTTTATCGTCTTCTAAACAAGAAAAATATTCAGAGAAGTAAACGGAGCGAACAAGCAGAGTAATGGCGGAAACAATACCCTTCAAAAACCTCCATAGCAGAGAGTACCAGGGACACAAGAAGAAGGTTTGTCTCTCTAAAACCATTCCTCCACTTTACTGTTAACAACAACAACCCTAACTTCGCTTTTCCTTTTTATGAACACTCTTGATTAGATGAATTGACTATGTGATACTTTATCTTCTATGTTTGTTTTTATTTATTAAAGGTGCATTCGGTGGCATGGAACTGCAGTGGCACGAAATTAGCTTCAGGTTCTGTGGATCAAACAGCTCGTATTTGGCAAATTGAGCCTCATGGTCATGTAAGCTTCATGAGCTCGTCTTTTTTGTTTTCAGTTAAGTTTATATGCTGAAATAAGGATAGCTTTTTGTTATTGTTGCCTTTTTCTGATTTTTTAAAGGTTTTACTGAAGTGGGAAACTGGGTGTAGTAAATAAACTGGATAAATTCGTTTACAATAGGCAAAACAAGATTTTTATGATATATGCATGAACTTAGGTACCTGAGATTTTCTCCAGAGTTAAGAAGCTGGTCTCTCACTTTAGTTGCTTCTGCCAAAGTCTAGTTCTATGTGGTATGAGTTGAGGAAGCTATGATAGTAATGCTTGTTGCAGTTACGTTTAAAAAAAATGTTTTTTTTTGTTACTTATCAAAGGTAGGGGTAAGGTATGCGTAACCGGGAGTTCATATGATTTCAATGTTATAGATACACAAAGAGGTTTGAATTGGAAGAAAAGGGAGAATGGGTAAAAAGATGCAGAAATGCTCCAGAATTACACAGTATGGCGAAATATTGCATGTCCCAGTTCAACGCACCTGGTGGAGTGATAGAAAAGCTGGAAAGGTAGCAAAGGAACATTTGGGATGCGGCGGATGGGACAAAGAAGTTTCACCTAGTGGGACGGGAGACCGTGACATCTCCTAAACAGTGGGTAGGACTTGGGGTTAAAGACTTGAAGGTTTTTAACAAAGTCCTCTTGGATAAATGGCTTTGGAGATTCGAGATGGAGGAAGAAGCTTTATGGGAGGGGTGATAGCGGGCAAATATGGAGTTATGGAAGGGGGAAGGAGAACAAATGTGGTTACCTTCCGAGTGTGGCATGTAGAAGAATATAATGAAGGGGTGGGAAGCCTTAAATAAAAATATTTTCTTTAAGGTTGGGGATGGGAGGAGACTAGTTTTTGGGGTCAAAAGTGGTGTAGAGATTTGGTGTTAAAGAATGATTTCTTGGTGTTGTATAGGGTCTCTGGCCAAATGGAGCTGTCTGTTCAGCAAATTAGGGGGGTACAAGGGAGGTGGGACCTTCTGGGATTTCCAAAATTGGGAGGTGACCGAGCTTCAAAGATTTCTAGTTTTACTGCATAAGCAATGCAAGCCAGTAGATAGACCTGATGCTTTGAGTTGGGAGTTGGGGAATAAAAAAGTGTTCTCTATTAAGTCCTATGGAAACCTTCTGGCTAGGGTGGAAGTTAGTTTTCCGTATGACTCGGTATGGACACCTAAGGTGCTGAAGAAGGTGTATTTCTTCTTGTGGTTAGCTACTAGAGGGGTGATATTGACGGTGGATAATCTTAGGGAATGAAAGGTGGTGTGCATAAGCTGGTGTTTCCTGTGTAAGGAGGCAGGAGAGGACATCAATCATATCTTGCTACATTGCAAAACATCTCGAGGTTATGGTAGGATATCTTAGATGGTTTGATATTTCTTGGGCAATCCCAAGGTCCATGAAAGAGTTGATGTTCAGTTGGAAGAGTGGAGTTAGGATAAGAAGACACAAGGTGTGGAATGTTATTCCTCTTGCAGTAGTGTGGGTCATTTGGAAAGAGAGAAATAGGAGAGCTTTTGAAAGGATGGAGAACTGGAGAGTTAGCTTTGCTCAATTGAGGAGTAGTCTCCGCTCCCTTATTTTCTTTTGGTGTAATTTCTGTTTGTATAGAGGATTGAGGTGTCTTTTGGAGAACCATATTTTATAGGTTTCTCCTTTTGTGGTATACTCCTTTTATATGACCAAGATGGCCTTGCTATTATCAATTAAATCTTTTACTTGGTCATAGAAAAA